TTGTCTGATCAGCATCCCTTCTCTATTGATGATAAAGGATAGCAGCCTTGCTGTTTATTTGTAAAACTTCCTCTTGCCATTCCTTGAAGTCTTAAGGGGTTGCCAAGCAAAGTTCTTGGTCTATCTCCCCAAGCTAAACTCTATGAAAATTTGAATCTTAAGAGGAGAGACAAATAACAAAAACAGGTTGAAAATTATTAATACAATGGCAGTGACCTGGAAAGACTGTCCATTAGTTCCTATTCCTGAGTTCCCTAATTGTATCCTGATGAATTTGCCTTTCCAGAGATGTGAGTAATGAAACCTTCTTCAGTATTTTGAGTCCACATGTTTTTTCATTTGGTACACTGCTTATTATTTTTAAGTTAAGGTAGAGCTGGGGGGGGGGCGGGTTGCATGTGGCTTACAATAAAAAGGGATTAGTTAGCCTTCCTGTTTCAATTTCTAGCCAGGTATGTATTAGAGACAGAAAGGTTCAAATTAAGCATTCTTGGCAGGAAGCAGGGGTGACAGCATATCAGTGATTCTCAAAATGTTGGATTTGGCATAGTTGATTTTAGGGAAAAAAAGAGGTAAACAGAAGCAGCCAGGGTGACAGAACAAAGAAAAGACAGTCTGCTCACAAAGAAAAAATCCCCTCACACTACTCATAACGATAACACCAAAACAGACAGGCATCAATATGAATGCATTTTGGTTCACTTATGTCTTATGACAAATACCTATTTCTAATTTCACATACAATGAAAAACCCCCATTTGTACTCACAAGTTGTGTGTCAGGCTTCTGAGCTGAAAAAAAGAAAAAAAAAAAAAGAAGAAGAGAATGTTATTGTTGTTGTTGCCTGCAAGATAGTTGACTCCTGGACCACAGTTCCTTGTCTATTTTCTTCCCATCAGCCAACCACTCAAATTGTTCAATGTCATGTGCTGAAGGGTTCTGATCTATAGACCATAGATTCAGACCTTGGTATGAGAGAGCTTTTAAAGGGGTTGAGATTTTAAAATAGGAAAGTTTGTAATCCAATGTCTTAAAATTTAAAATTAAAACATTATTGATGGAAGCCTGGCTGGAAGACAGCAAATTTACACTGTGTACCCTTCCATTACATCCCTGATGGTGGGGCTGGTTGGAAGACAGTGAGTCTGTGTTTTGTGCCCTCCTTTATATCCTAGATGGCAGGGCTAGCTAGAAGACAGTGAATTTGAGATCCAGGCTTCCTCCTTTGCATCCTGGAGGGTGGGCTGGCTGGAATAGTGTAAAACCCACAGGAACCCCAAGACCCAGGACAACAGCACAGTGCACAGATGCACACACACACACCTCTCTGGAGGGCAAAGTAATCAATGAGGCCAATGACATGGAAGCATCTGAAGCAGCAGTGAGGAGACAGCAGCTGGACTCTGGAGAACTCTACTGACAGTAAGTAGACCAGTCCCAGCCTCACATCCAGAGACCAACATCAGCACATCTCCGGGATGCAACTAGACATTATCACAGGACTGTAAACCAGATGAAGTGGGTTCTTGGAACAGCTTTAAAGAATCAGCTACATCTGGAGACGTCCCTGAGGAAAAGAAATCACTTTTCCTCTTTGAGAGAAGCCTCAATATTAGTGATAGAGCTATATATCACAGAAGGTTGGTGGGCATCAACAGACAAAATTTAGAAAAAGAGGAGGTGGAGAAGGGCAAGATGCAGCCACAGGACCCCCCCCTCCCCCCCCCCCGACTTCCAGCCTACCAGGACAGGCCTGGAACTCAATAAGATAGATGAAGGTGGAAGTCAAATACTGGACCTTTCTGAACGATAGCAACAGAAGTGGAAAAGGGCATAAAGAAAATGATCTCTCAGGTACAAAAAGAAATTTTGCTTAAAATTAATCATATTAGAGAAGACACAAATAAAAGAATAGATTACCTTAGAAAAAGATGAAAACAAAAAATGCCCAACATAGGAGAGAAATAGGATCCATGAATCAGATATAAAAAGAGATCCAGGAGATTAAAATCTCCATTGAAAGTACATGCAACAGATTGAATGAAGGAAAGGATAGAATTTCAAAGCTTAAACTGAATTGCAGTCAGTGATCATGAAAAGAAAGGTATCAAAAATAGCAACTGACTATAAGAAACCAATCCAATAGTACAAAATGAAGCAAAGAAGAACACAAGATTGATTGTGGTCAGTGAGCAATTAGACACCTGGAGACAGCACAAATGCCATAACAATCATAAATATATATGTGCCTAATATAGGAGCACCCAACTACATAAGATAGTTATTGGTAGACATGGAAAATCAAATAAACAATGACACAATTGCAACAGGAGATCTCACTACCACATTGTCAACTAGACAGAGAGATCGATCAACTAGGCAGAAAATCAGGCAAGAAATATCAGAGCCAAGAACACTGGTTTGGAGGAACCCAGGTGCCTAGTCCAATCACCTACACCAAGGGTCTGGCAGCAAAGGCAGGAAGGAAGCACCCAGGATGCAACAGTGGGCTGATTCAGAGAAACCCAGGAAAATATCAAGAGGAAGAAGTAAAATACAATCTCAGAACTCCAGCTCACACAGAACAAGTTTAGGAGACACAATAGACATGGTAGACATAGTAGAAATTAGAAGTCATACATCTGAAACTTCTGGAAAGATAACAACTGAAATAAAGAAGTAACAGTCCTTGTATTGATTGGTTAATTTTACATGTCTATGTCTGATGTCTGTAGGGCTATTTTGAAGATAACATAGTATATTATGGTAGCCATTGTTGATTTCCTATTATCTTGTTTTGAAGTCCTATATCATTTTCATTGTTTTGTTTTGTTTGATTTTATTATGTCTGAAGGTATGGGAAGCTATTTTGAAGATAACAAGATATATTATGGTAGCCACTGTTGACTTCCTATTATCTTGTTTTGAGACTTCTCTTTCATTGTTTTGTTTTGATTTATTGTTTTGTTTGATTTTATTATGTCTGATAGTATGGGCAGCTATTTTGAAGATAACAAGAGACATTATGATAGCCATTGCTGATTTTGTATTGTCTTGTTTTGAAGTCCTCTATCACTTTGTTTTATTCTGATTGGTTTTATTCTGTTTTGTTTGATTTTGTTATCTCTGATGGTATGGACAAGCTGTTTTGAAGGTGACAGCAGGCATTGTGTTTACGGTTGTTGATTTCTTATTATCTTGTTTTGACATGCTGTATCACTTTCATTGTTTTGCTTTGATTAAATTTGTTCTGCTTTGTTTTGTTTGGTTTTATTCTTATTTTGGTTTTATTCTTTTTAAAATAAAAATTTTTAAAAATTTTGTGTAACAAAATTTCACATAGTATGTGTTGTTAATGTCCAGTGCAGCACAAAAGACTCATAAGGGTCCACTGGATTCCCGTGAAAGCAAAACGCTATTTTCTTATCCAAAATATTTATACATTGGGCAAAGGGGAAGGAGTGGATTAAAAGTACAGGTTTAGCAGAGAAAAAAAGAGGAGACATGGAGACATAACTGGAAGGATCAAGAATTTTTATGTTTTTAAGCTCTGAAATATCTAGACATGTTTGGAGGCAAAAGAGAAAGAGCCACTGCAGAGGAAAGGGATCAACAGAGCTGGCTCTATGGGCAAGGGGCCTTTGAATTCACCCAGGGCCTTACATTTGACTTAATTCTTTACTGTCACTCTTGAATTTTTTTCATTATGCCCCATAGGTTCTGTAACAGTTCAGGTGGAGAGACATATATGTGAAAGTACGCTGAAAGATGTGAAGCACACATTTGGGAGGCTGCTTAATTGCCCCCCACAAATGTCCATTCCCTAATCTTCCGAAGTGGTGAATGCTTTGCCTCATATGGCAAGAGATTTTGCCATTGTGACTAAGAATTTTTAGATAAGGAGATTATCCTCTGTTATCTGGTAAATTCAAAGTAATCTCTTTAGGTGAAGGAAGCAACAGCATTAGGGTCAGAAAGACAAGGCATATGACAATGGAAGCAGAAGCAAAGGAGATGTAACCTTGTGATGCGAAGTCATGGGTTGGGACTGCAGGTGACTTTTAGAAGCTGGACACTAGGTAAGGAAACATATTGTCTCCGGGAATTTACAAAAGGAATGCAGCCTTGCTGACCCACTTTGGTCTTCTGACATCTAGAATATGTTTGTTTTTAGTCACATTGGTAGTAATTAGTTATAGTGGCAGTTAGAAAGTACTACATACTAGGTAAATCCAAGCACTAGTTTTGTAGAAACCCAGAGTACTGGTAAAGTTCACAGCATTATTGATACCTCCTGCTACGTGCTGGGTAATATTCTAAGCCCTTTATGTATATTACTTATGTAATCTTAATATTTGAGATTGGAATTAAGGCCACATAGCTAATTAGAATGTGTTACATTTGAAATTTCAGTCTAGTTTGTCATCCAAGTTTTTATATACGTTTATCCTCATTTCCCTATAAACTTTTAGCTTTGTTTTCATGTTTTAATATGCGTTATATTTGCATATGTCAATATATCAATGGGGGGATAGGTTGGTGCAGGAGATGATACCTTGGACGTGTAAAATCAAAGAGGTGAATCTACCCGACTGAACTAGACGACTTTTTAAGGTAACTGTAGTTTGTGAGGCTACAGTGAAGAAGACAATCGCTTAAATTGCAGTTCTGACTTGAGTAAGTCCTTGGTGAGTCCTGACTCCTGGTGGCCACGAGGGGACAAGGACCTTCTTGGGATGCCCTCTATCTTGTTTCCCTAACAACCAGAGAGGGGTGCGGCTTTGGCAAGCCAACTCCGAAGAGGACCCCCATCCCCCGCCCTCTCGGTGTTTTGCAGCCCTCGTGGTTGCGCCTCATTGGCCGCCACGGAGCCCGGCCCCGAGGAGGCGGAGCAGCCTCCTTAGCGCTACCCTGCGGTTAGCTGGGCCTCCGACTCCGCCTTCCAGTCGCAGGGGCCGCCGGGACCACAACTCCCAGAAGGCTCTGCGTCGGGGCGTGGCCTCGGCCTCGGACGCCGGGGGCGGGGCCACCCGGGCATGAAGCGGGGGCGCGCGGCACTGCTACCTTAGAAGCCGCCACTACCAGGCGCCCGGCAGTATCCACCGCCTCGGGTCGGCGCGCAGACCTCTACCTCTGGGGGAGCTCTGCCGCCGACTCGGTCCCCTACGGTCATCGCTCGGGCCGCCCTCGGTTCCCGGCCCCTGAGGGGCCCGGCTGTCCGCGGAGGGGGGAGGCCAGCATGAGCCGGGGGCTCCGCCGGGCCGGCGCCGGGCAGGGGGCGGCGGCCGCAGTGCAGCTGTTAGTCACCCTCAGCTTCCTTCCGAGCGTCGTCGAGGCCCAGGTAAGCCCGGAGAGGGTCCACCCGGCAACTCGCCGACGGTCGAGCCGGCTGCTAACGGGCCGCACATCAGCCGGGTGCAGGTGCGAGGGAAAAGCTGGGGCACCGACTGGTCCGTCCAATGCAGGAAACGTCTGCGAACCCTGGCGTGCGCGTGGATGGCGACATCCAGGGTGCTGGCACTCAGGAGAGGAAGATGGTAATGGTCCCCTGAACCGTTGCGGTTCTTATTCTTGTAGTTTTTGGCGGCCAGGAGTGTGGCGGGAGACGGGACGGGCGGAACATCTCGGCTGCCTGTAGGGAACGCATCCGAGTGTCGCCCTTCCCTTCGGGAGTTCCTGAAGCCAGCCGGGAGTCCGCGGAACCCGAGGAGCCCCACTCCTGGCCGCCCTGAGAGTGGGTTGGGAGGAGGACAAAACTTGAGTTCTTTGATTTTGTGCACTAGCGATTCCTTGGCTTTTGGCCCTGCTCAGTATCGCTTTGTTTTTACCCTCTTGCCTTTTGTCTCTTTAAGTGGATCTGACAGTGAGGTGCTAGCGGCACCGTAAGCTAGAGTTTGGAGGTGTCTCCGTGAAGTGATTAAAAGCAGTCCTCTTGTCATCGTAGAAACCTGAAGGTTAGCCGACCAGAACCTTTTGCCAGGAGAGCTGTGTTTACTTCTTTTTTATTCAGTAGAATTTGAATAGATTGCCAGGTGCTGTTGTCTCCTCTGCACCTGCTGCTAAGTGGTGGAACTGCTCAGAGCCAAAAAGAGTGCCTCAGGTGGCTTGATAATAAGGGGAGATGCCATTTGAAGCAATTAATGCTCATCTCTAAGAAAAATTGACGGTAACTCTTGAGTGTAACCGCGTAAACATGTTTTTCTGGCTTTATTCAGATATTCTCCAATGGTTTTGTGGTGCTCAGCACCAAATCCCTGAATGATTATTTCATTTATGTTCATGTTTGAGTAGTTTTAAAATGATTTGACACAAATGAGTAAACTTTTGATACTGAGCTGGTTAAGGTAGGATCTCTGGCCCTGCTTCCATCTGTACTGATTGAGTGGTTCTAGAATGGGACCCAGGAATCAACATTTAAACAGACCTTGGAAGTAATTGTAATGCAGTTATTCTTAAGTCCCACTTGAAAAACACTTAACTAGTAGAATTCTGGAGATATCTATTGAACTTAGAAAACATAAATTTTCCAAATTATCTTTGAAAAAGTTATTTCCTGGTTACTAGTTGAATGTTTGTGTTTGGAATTTACATTTAGATACTTTTCTTTCTTTTTCTTTTTTTTTTTTTTTTTTTTTTTTTTTTGTGTCTTTTTCTTTTTTATCGGTACCAGGGATTGAACTCACAACTGCCTGCTTGCAAGGCAGGCACTTATGCCGCTGAGCTAAATCCCCAGCCCCTTAGATACTTTTCTAAAACGAAAGTTCTCACTTTTTAACATAACATTAATTATATACTTTATGAGAAGTCTAAAGCTTCATTAAGGTTTTTTCATCTACTGCTAATTATATGTAATTAATATTTTATAATTGCATCTATACTTCTAATTTCCTTTAACTACATATAGGTAATTCAGCACTTAAAGATTTGTGCATATTCAAAGTAGCATTTGCCAGGTAGTCATCTAAAATAGTTATCTTTGTTTTTGTTTCCAGGGGGACTTTCTGATATAGTTTGACCATATTTTAGATAACCTGTAACATGCTTAAATATGCATGATCTCCTTTTCTCTGAACATTTCTCAGAAATGAGGCCATTGTGTTGACTGAAGTCTAGAGAATTTAAATGTTGAGTGAGTGACATTAAATTGACATTCCTCACTATACCACATATCAGTGTTTACTTCTCTGGAGAATAGAGAAGCAAAAAGAGACCAGGAAAATCAAAAAGTGGAACTAAGTCAGGTTTTTCCCCCCATTTCTTGCATGTATTAGATTGGTAGAAAAAGGAAAGGGAAGCATTAGAATCTTTGAAAAATCTCTATTCAAGATAAAAGTCATTGGGCCGGGGGTTTAGCTCAGTGGCATAAGTGCCTGCCTGGCAAGCACACAGTCATGAGTTCGATCCCCAGCACCCTCCCCCTAAAAAAGATAAAAGTAATTTAAGGAAATAGGTAACTTTAATAGATCTCCTTGCATTTAAAGCATAAAAATATTTTTAGCACATATAATGATATATTTCTCATGCCCCATTATAAATGGAGATATGCTTTGTAGTATGGCAAAACACTAGGAACTAAAGGCATAGAGCTGCAAGTGATAATCTGAAAAACTATGTACAGTAATTGTGGTCAGATATGTTTGAAGTCCTTCTAAATGACTTTCTGAGGTGGCATAAAATCAAGGAATACACAGAATCCCCCACCAAATGAAGTGCCAGAAACTTGAGACTCAAATAGTGGTGTACTAGTCTATGATTTTTTTAGTGTTTTCCCCAAACCCTGAAGACTTTGAACTCCTGCTTTATAACCTACATAGGTGTGGAGTGTCTGCCCAGAGAAAGGAAACCGGTAAGAGACCCCACAATAAAGCCTAGATTCTAAAAAGTTACATCTTCAGTTTAAGAGTAAATGAGAAATGCACTACAAGTAAGGAGAAAGTAACAAAACTTGCTGGAGGAGTGAGAAAATAATCCTCTGAAAAAAGTGTAACCTTATCTAAGTTCAAGATCAATTTTAAGCTATTTGTGCTAGAAATGATTCAGGTAGAAAATTTAATTTGTGAAAGTTGGGGCTGGGGATTTAGCTCAGCAGCGTAAGCACCTGCCTTGCAAGCAGGCGGTCGTGAGTTCGATCCCTGGTACCGATAAAAATGAAAAAGACAAAAAAAAAAAAAAAATGAAAGTCATGTTTGTATTCCCCAGGAGACAAGGAAAAGCAAGCATCAGTCTCCTTGATACATTTATTTTCAACTTAAGCCCTAAAGGAGTCCCAAAGATAAAGTGCCAAGAAGAATAAATAAGTAGATTTTAAAAGATCACAAAATACATAAGAAAATAGGGCTCCAGAAATCAGGTTTAGTCCCTGACCTATAGGTCACTTACAATTTTGCAGTTTTCTTTTAAATTTTACAGCGATGCAAAACAAGTGTATTCAGATAAAACTACTTCAAGTTTTAAATTGTAATCTTTTCCTAGATGAGCTCAGATATTCTCTCCATGCTGGACAGTGGCAGTGACCTTTAGGTCTCTATTGCATGAACTGTCAGCCATATGAGCCAGAGGGTAAACAGCTGGAGCTCCACAGTGTATTGTGTATCTCAGCTATGATATACAGTTGGTTAGGTGTCTCAAATGCATTTCCACTTGATATTTTCAATTTCAATGGGTTTATCAGGACGTATTCTTATAAATTGAGCAACTACATTACAAACAACAAAAATTTATGGGACAGGTAATTTAATATCACTTTAAAGAAAAAGAGAAGCTTGAAAATATGAAAAAGAACAAGATTTTAAAGACTGAAAAGATGTAAAAATAGAAGTATTAGAAACAAAACAAAGCTCAGTGGTGGACTGATTATACCTAGGTGAAGAAATGATTATTCAGTTAAACAGCCATTTTGTGTCTTTTCTCTCTCTTTGAGCCCCATTTTCTTCGATCTGCACCCTCACTAACAGAATTGGAGTAACCAGGAAAGAATTTTCCCACAATAACTGACATCATTCACTTACTATCCCTTACCCACATATTTTGATATCCAGTTGCTAACCATGATGAGCTGTTTATGTTGTCAAAGGGCAGTCCCTCCACGTAAATTAGGTCCCAGTTCCTCTTTCCCATTCAAGGACTTAGTTCCACCAGCCTTCTCTTTCCCTCCTGGATCAGTTTTTCCTTCTCTGAAGCATAGTTCAATAATAGAACACTTGCCTAGTATGTGCAAGACCCTAGATTAGAACCACAGCACATTTTTTAAAAAAATTATTCTACTTTTTTCAAGTTCTGAACTCACCTATTCTTTCTGCTTCTGCATCATTTTTTCTCTCACTCTCTGGAAAAACTCAAGAGTTATCTTTATTTCTTCTGTTTTGGTTCTCCTATTCTCATTCCAGTCATACTTTTGATCCTCCATTCCTCTAAAATTGATCTTGTTAAAATCACCAGGGCCTTTGTTGGTAAGTTCTTAAATCTCAGCTTTACCTATTAGCAGCAATTTTCAAAGCTCAATGCTAGCTCTCCTTGGCTTCCAGAATACAACATTTCAGTAGTTTCTGTCCTGTCCAGTGGGCCAGTCTTAGTATCCTTTCCTTGTTCTTGCCCTTGCCTGCCAACCATTTGGACTTCAGAGTTTGAATCTTGTACCATTTCTTCTATTTTGGCTTACTGGTCACTTTCAAATTTAAATCTCCAGAGTAGAAGTCTCAGCCCTAGATCTTTATATTTTACCATTTTTCAACCTCTCAGTTGAAAGTATCTCGGTTTTGAGTATTAAGAACCAAACTCCTGATCCTTTCCTTAAATTTGCTCTTCTCAAGATCTTTTCCCCCTGTCAGATATGCTCCAGTGAACCAGCCTCCCTGTTCTTCAAGCAGAGCAACTGTGTTCTTGCCTTAAGGCCATTGTGTGAGATACAATAACAATGTTTAAATTTTTAAAATTTATTACAGCAAAAGACATACTGCTACTAATACCTCTCATATTATTCCCTCTTGCTTTAAACACATTCCCATTGGTTTTGGTGATGTATCTTTTACTGTAGTATTTTAAAAATTTAGGCATTCACCATACTTTTTGATTCCCTCTTACTGTTTCTTCTACAAAGAGCACTCGGTATGCATAAAATTCACTGTCTTTGTTTCTTTCTGCTAAAGTGTCATTTTATCAAACAGGTTCCCTTATCTAAAATATTCTTCAGCTCTGGTCATATAATGTACAAGTGAAACCTTTTGTTCCTTATCTGTTACTCCCTATGCCTTTCATCCTTTGCTTAAAACTCTCTACTGTCTTCCTCTCTTACTCAGTGTGACATACTATAAAAAATGTATTTAGTATTTGTTTCTGATTCCTGGCACATGTCTCCTAAAATACTTTCGTACTTACTAGATTGCATACATTAATATCAAATATTGGGGAAGACTGTTTTGGAAATCAACCTGTCATTTCCTAGTAAAACTGAACATGTACTTATAGCAATTCCATTTCTAATCATATAACCTGGAGAAATTATCGCACATGTATACTAAGATGTATATTGTTGTTTATCCAAACCTGAAAACATGCATTAGTTTTAGTTGTATTAAATTGTATTAGTTGCCTGTTGCTGTTATAACAAATTGTTATAGACTTAGTGACCAAAAAGAATATACACATATTAATCTTGTAGTTCTGGGGCAAGATTTTGAAGATGGATTGTAGAAGGTTAAAATTAAGATGTCAGCAAGATTATTTTGCTTATAGAGACTAGAATGGTTCCCTGCCTTTTTCAAGCTTCTAGACGGCTTCTGTTTGGCTATTGTCTTTCTTCTCCATCTTCAAAGCCAACTGTGTACCATCTTACAATTTTTCTTTTTGAACCCAACACTTCTGTCTCTGTTTTATAAAGAATTTTATGACTATAATGTTTTAACATAAATACTCCAGTAAGTCTTCCCATTTCAAGATGCTTAATTACAATTTTAAAGTTTCTTTTGCCATGTAAAGTAACATATGGAAAGTTTCAGAAATTAGGGCATGAACATTGTGGGGAAGGCATTATTCTTTCTGATATATAGATCAACAGTAGAATGAATATATTGTGATATTTTTATATAATGTTACACTTTTAATAGTAAAACTAATTATGAAAAGATACTAAAATAAAATGATAGTAACAGAGGCACATTACAGAAGAATTCACATATTAGATTTCATTAGTATTAAAGTTCAAAAATGTAGAAAACCTCAAAGTATATTGCTTAGGGATATATTACCAAAAAAAGGAAAGTATGGGTTTTTTTTTCTTCAATTAAGGGATTGAATCCAGAGTTTTTATGCTGAACTATATCCCTAGTCCTTTTTGTTAACTTTGAAACGTGGTGTCACCAAGTTACTGAGTTGCACAGTCTAGGCTCAAACTTGCAGTCCTCTTGTCTAAGCCTCCTAGAGTGCTGGAATTACTGCTGTGTCTATCATACTCAGCCTAAGAGATAATGTCTTGCTGTGTTGGCCTTGAACTCCTGGGTCTAGCCTCCTAAATTGGACATAGTCAGCAATTCAAGAAATAGCAATTACTAGGAACAATATTTTATTTATTTATTTATTTATTTATTTTTGGTACAGATCGAACTCATGATCTCGTGCTTGCCAGGCAGGCACTTATGCCACTGAGCTAAAACCTGATCCCGGAACAGTATTTTAAAGCCAAATATTTTTGTTTGTATTTTGATTTTGCTTTTCTGTTGTTATGTAGGGGGCTAGAATTTGGAGTCCTGTGTGAGTACTGAGAGTAATGGAATGAGATTTGCAAGTTAGTGATGGGATCCTAGAAAATGGGATAGGAAAGCATAAAGAATCCCAAGAGCTGAAGTTCTTGATAATGATCTCTTATGCTTTATCTCAAGATGATATAGCAGGGAGTTTGGAGATACATTTATGCCTAGGGAGAAAAGAAAAGAAACAGCTGGCAAGGACTGGTTTCCATTTCCTGATAACCACTTGCGTGTGTTCCTCTTGTGGACTTTATGAATTACCTGCTTCAGACCAAGCCCCATTCTTATTTTTAATTGAAAAATTGACTTGTAAGTCCATATACAGTTATAAGAAATAGTACAGATAAATGCTCTGTACCCTTCAGTTATCCTATTGTATCATCTTATAAACATACATAGTACAGTGATATAACCTGAACATTGCCATTGATTGGTATCTCATTTAGATTCCCCGTTTTTCTTGCACATGTACATGTTAGTTCTATATAGCTGTATCATGAGTAGCTGTGTGTATCCACGACAGCAAAGATATTGAGTGGTTTGTTGCCACAAGCATCCATCCTGTTGCTTTTTTATATAACCATATTACCTCATTCCCACTTCACTCCACCTCATTCCCCCTCCACTCCACCTCCCATCCCTAAGCCCTGGCAACAATCTCTTTTTACATTTCTAAAATTTTTCATTTAAAAAATATTGTGTAAGTGGAGCCATATAGTTTGTAAACTTTTGGAGTTGGCGTTTTTTCTCAGAATAATTCCTAGAAGATTCATTCAAATTGTTGCATAACACTGAGTCCAATTTTTAGTTCAGTTGAATGTTTTATGGAATTTTTGTACTCTAAAGTCACTTTGTAAATAACAATTTTTCTTGGATTAGTGGATATTTTAGTTAGTAGGGGAATGAATTTCAAACTTTTGGAAAACTAATTTAAGTTTGCTAAACTTTAATTTCCTTACATGTAAAATTAGGATATTATAGGATACTTCTAAAGAGTAAAGCATGACATATTAAAGGTCTTAGCAATGTGCCTGTCACATAGGTTAGCTACTTGGAATTTATATATGTTTAGGAAAGAGAAGGAGAGTTTAGTCTTTTATTTTGAGCACTAAGAAGTTTTAGTTTTTCAGGGTGGGCATGATCTTCATACTTTTGTATCAGTGACCATAGTAAAGCAGCATAAGTAGCTGCTTTAATGTTACGAATCTTAATTAGCAAAAACTGGCTATCTTGAATGAACAAATGATTCTTTTGTATCGTAATACAGATTTGTTAAGGTTGAAACATCAATAATTTACATATTTTAAATTTTTATTTATGTGAATTCTAGGTGGCTGGAGTCCTGGATGATTGCTTGTGTGATGTTGACAGCATTGATAACTTCAACAACTACAAGATCTTCCCCAAAATAAAAAAATTGCAAGAACGAGACTATTTCCGTTATTACAAGGTAAGGTTATAAGTTTCATTCTGTTGATGCCAAAAGTTTTTCTATAGCAGTCTGTGGAAGTGACTTTATGACCCTTTTGAAAACCCGTTTTAACTCCCTTGAACAGCCTGTGCGTGTCTTTTGTTATTTGAATGTATTCAGAATCATAGTGATTCTTAATTAATTAATCACTGAGAATCTCAGCCTCCATGCTGTGTTTGGAGATTTCTCTATCTCTCACTTTTGGTTTCAAGACAGAGACTCTTTCCTTTACAGCAACTGAAAATGCCAGGGACTGAGTTCATCAGCCTCCCTTTAATGTAGATTCTGTCATGTAGACCCATCTACCTAGGCTTCAAGTTGGGCTGTACACTAGCAGTCTTAGCAGTACAAAGTGACATAACAGCAAATATGCATTGCTTAGTACCCTGTGAGAGCTGGCAAAACAGGGCAAAGCTACAGGAAACACTGTATGCAGTATCTATAGTAATATGCAGGATTGGATCTTAAATCTAGTAACTCTATCCTAAACCTACATGAAATACCAATAATACCTGAGAGACCACAGCAGTCTTCAAATAATGCAATTAGCAATATTCAAAAGGATAGTTATTCTAAATTTTTGAAAAGTGTTTTAAAAGTTGCTGTTAGGCTTTGCCTTTGCTTTTGCATTCAGGATTCAGTTGGTTTATAATTTCTTTGATTTTAGTGTTTATTCTAAAAACTGAGCATGATTTTCTTTTTATCTTAATTTTATGTAGACTATCAATTCTTCAAATATTTTTAAGGGTAAAATGTTCAGTCTTTTGGCAATTTTAAGTTGTGCAGGAGGATAAATTAGAAAGTTAAAGATCCATTCAGTACCAAGAATATCTTAAAAAGGGGTGACTATTTCTTTTCTTTCTACAGTTATAGCTGGGTATGGTGGCACATGTATGTAATCTCATCATTTGTGAAGCTGAGCCAGGATGATCACTAGGAATTTGAGGCTAACCTGAACTATATCATAAGACCTATCTCAAAATAAACAATACAAAAAATTGATTATAAGTGTAGATTTTAGTGTATTTCAGATTTTAGTGTATTATAAGTGTATTTCAAAGAGAAATCTATATCTAAACCTGTTATCTTGTTTTTTTGTTTGTCTGTCTGTTTGAGACAGGGTCTTGCTGTGTAGTTCAGGTTGGCCTTGAGTTGACTATGTGTAGGGTAGGCTGGTCCTGAACTCATAACAATCAGAAATGTGCCACCATGCTTGGCTAAACCTGTTTTGTGTGTGTGTGTGTATACTGCTGGTGATTAAACCCAAGGGCTTGTGTGTACAGTGCAGGGCTCTACTCTTGAGCCTCATCTGTTGCCCCTTAAACCTGTTTTCTTAATCTAGGGATATTGCATATAAATTACTGCCACCACTGAATCCGAATCTATTCTGTATTTATAGTTGCTGTTATCCTTCTTATTATTAGATTGAATTGTATGCAGTTGTTACTTTTATATTTCAAAAATTATTGAATACACACTTTTATATAGTTCAGACTAATATAATGGAGGAAGCATTCATTTAATTAAAAACTGCACCTTCAAAGGTGGCCAGACTACATTTCCAGTGACTATTGTGACTATTCATTCTTTCTCTCTTCCTTTTGGTATTGCATCTTCTATTTATATATCCCTACAAGTCCTGGTAAATAGAATCACTCAGATATTTCAACAAATGAATATCTTGTTAACTTTCACACCAAAAGTTTTTAGTATTATCCACATTTTTCAAATGAAGAAATAATGGTTTAGATATCATAGGTAGGGCATTTTTGTTGGCTAGGAAAACAAGTTAATTAAGAAAAGATAGTAGTTTACAAAATTGAATGACAAATTGAGAAAGCATACTTTAGAACATAGTGGTATTTTGGTACTGGTTATTAATTGGTTCCAGGAGGTATGACAAGTACCAAACAAATTGTTTTGCTGAAAAGGGTAGTGGGTCATGAGGCAGTCAACAACGATAAATTCTAGCTTGTGTTTTGAGTACCAAACAAATGATGAATACTGGGACACAATTTTTGAGTTAAATTGCATCAGGGGCCAATTTGAATTTCAAAGAGGATGAGTACTAAGGTGCGTATAACTGTAGATGAAATTAAAAGAATGAGCACTAGTAATAATTAAAGGCAAAATTTTGGATCAAATTAATCTAATTCTCATATTTTACAACACTTTATCCAAGAGGTAAGAATCTTGATTGTTCTAGGTAAAGTCATGTGACCTTTGACCAAAGGTCAAGAAAGGATAACTTTGTCAATAGTCTCATTCACATGAATATAAGAGGAGTCATTATTTCTCAAAGGTAAATTCGGGGACTACTACATAAGGAAACATGGGTGTTGGATAGGCAAAAATAGCAATATGCCACTTGGCTACCCAACATATAGTCTTTTCTCTCCTCTCATGCATGTAGTTTAAAAATGTACTAACTAACAGAGTGAAATTGTTTTATATATAACCAAAACATACTCCTGTCCTTTCCCAAAGGAAGGTAGTGTCCTGATTTATGAGTGTCCTCAGCTTATGAGTCTAAGATTTGCTCTTCTAATTCTGTCAACCTATGAAAGATGTAGAAAGGAAATTTAACCAGTCAATGCATGAAATTCAACCACTTCATATAATACAGGCAAACAAAGCTAAGAGAAGAGGTTCATTTCAGTCATACACATGCATACTTCTGATTAAGCAAGCAAGGAAATATAGGAAGAAACAACCATCTGCTTTTATGTAGCTGGTCAATTGATTGCTATACCTGGTATTTATAACTTTTCCTTTGTATTATCCTACTATGTATGGTTTTTTGTTTAAATGTCCCCCTAAAGCCTCATGCAGTCATGGTGGGCCTTTCAAAGGCAGCTGAATCTAGTGTTTATGATTGGTTCATTGTCTAGCGCTGGGATTGGTGGTGTAAGTGGGGCATCTGCCCTGGGACAGGTTGCCAGCGTACAATGTAAGAGAAGGAAGGTGATGGGGTTTTTGCCCTTTTTCCCTTTTTGCACTTGTCACTTCTGGTATTTGCTACAGCCACCATGTTGCCTCTCAGCCATGCCACCCTGACTTGGATCCAGCCAATTATGGACTGAAACCTCTACAAATTGTGAGCTAAATCTTTCCTTCTTCAATTTGGGTGTCAAGTATTATGTCTCAGTAACAAGAGAAAAGTAACCAGTGTGTATTTCTTTCATTCCTTTTCTCACTACTTAATTATTTTTGGGATGAGGTATTGTTGTGGAGCCCAAGATGGTCTGGAACTTGCTTTGTATACCAAGCTGTGCTTGAACTCAGTTTTTCTGCCTCAAACTGCCAAGTGCTGGGATTATAGGAATGCACTACCATGCTTGGCTCTGATGAAATATTTATTGGAAGAGTAATTTGTGGTAGCCTCTAGTCTAGGTAGTTCTGTGGATACAGTAGTGAATAAAACAAAGCTTTTGCTCTGATCAGGGAAACAGTACATGTACTTTCAGATGATTATAGGATAAATATTATGGAGAAAAGAAAAGCAAGATAAAAAAGATAGTGATGATGGAGAGAAAAAAGGCAGATAACCCTATTTTAATGAAGGTGATCAGGAAAGAAAGATCACCTTTCTGTTGCTGGGGCAAAATACTTGACACACATAACTTAAAAGGAGAGAAAGTTTATGTAACTCATGGTTTCAGAAGTCTTAATCCATGGTCACCTGACTTAAAGGCAGCAGCATCATGGTGGAAGGATATGGCAGAGGAAAATTGTTTACTTCATGGCAGCCAGGAGGTAGAGAGAGCAGGAAAAGAGCAAAGAGAAAAGGGCTGGGAACAACAAATACCCTTGAGAGTGTTGCCTCCAGTGACCTACTTCCAGCTGGCCCCCACTGATGAGCTGTGGGCTCATAAATGGATTAAGGTGAGCGACCTTGTTATAGTAAGCATTTGCAGGGGAATAGATTTAATATAGGACACATAATTTATAAGATTATTTTATAATATTCACCCAGCAAGTCAAATGGAGAAGGGTATAAGAGATATATCCATTCTTGTAATACTAGTGTATTACAAGTTGATCATTATTTAATCCACATAGCTCTCATGATCTAAGATAACCCTGCCTCTGAACATTGCTGCATTGAGGGTCAAGCTGTTAGTATGTGAATCTTTTGAGGGAACTTTTAATTTAAACCACAACAAAAGATATGCTAATGTGACATTTGAGCAAAGACATACTTAATGTGAAAGGGTAAACTGTGATAATATTTGGAGAAAGAACATTTCAGGAAATGGAGTTTTAAGAAAACAGCAGTTTTAAAGATCTTGACAAAGGAGTACAGTAACTATCTTCAAGGAATAGGAAAAAGGTTGATGATGTTTGTGGTGGAAAATGAATAAAAGGGAGAGTTAGAGAGTTAAGTAGGGACCAGATTTTTTTTTTTTAAATCAGGGTTTATTTGCCATAGGAAAATTTTGGATTTCATTCAACATATGATAAGAAATGAAGGTATTTTTGTATAAAATAAACTGTAAGAGTATGAGGCAGAAAGAGAGAAACCATTTAGAAAGCTATTGCAATACTCTACATAAGATGGTACAGATTTAGCAAAGGATTCTAGAGTTGGACAATGTGAACAATGATGAGATATTTATTTTTTTAAATAAAAGGTAACACCAACTGGCTTTTCTGATGGATTGTGAAGTGTAAAGGTAGAAGTGATGATACCTAAGGTTTGAATATATATATGAAAAAATCACAACCAAATAAATTTTATTTACTATACTACAAGGATGATTCTTCTAGCTTGTCAACAAACTTCTTAGATTTTTTTAAAATAAGAGTTATTGATATTTCTTTAACACGATGATTTCAGTCCTAACATCATCATAACCAAGATCTTATGGAGAAACAGTAAAAGAATTCTCACTTAGATCAGAAACCAGGAAAAGAATCCCGATAGTATTCATTATTGTTGGATATGTTGTCTAGTACAGTTTCAGAAACCAGGAAAA